AATAGGTGAGACGTTTGCAGTTTCTGCAACATCGCCCTCTTGAGGTCAAATATAGAAACAAATTGAATCTTAAGGTTTTTTGTCCTATCTCCTTCCTTCTCCTATCTAGGCTTGAATTTCTTAGCATTGTAATCTGATGAGAGTGTTTTCAGGAGTCTATTAAGAGGCTCTTTTAATCTTATGAACTAAGTAGCATTATTTAATCCAAGAAGTAAATCACATTGTCATCCTCATTTTATAAATGGGGAACCTGAAGCATGGAAGGAAGGATGAAAATTGTCCAAGGTCACAGTAAGTGACAACTGGAATTTGTCCCATTAGTATGACTCAAGAATCTACATTATCAACCACTGATAATTTAGAACTATAGCCCTTTAGAGTGGATATTATCCTTACTTAATATAAGGGAAATCAAGTCTTCATGAAGTTAAATAATTTGTCCAAGGACACACAAGGACTAGAACTACTTCCATTAGACTCCAAGCCCAGCTCCTCACCCACTATGTTATCTATGATACAGTACCACCCTCTAAGAGTAGATGTAGTTTGACTAAGAAAAACACTCAGAGCAAAACTCGGAAAAGAATAGCAACTAAAGACAATCCCCAAGGAACCCAAACACTGAATAGATGGGCAGTTGGAAAAATATCAATGTAACCTCAAAGGGTAGTCCAGAGAGGTAAGTGGCAAATCAGAAATGATGGGTGTTCTGAAAGAGAAGGGAAAAGGAGTTTTAAGGAGGAAGGAATGTCCAACAGAGCAAATGCTGAAGAAATGTCTGTCTAGTGAGATGATGACTAGAAGGTGTCCATTGATTTTTAACAGCACAGAGATCATGATTGAGTCTTTTCAACAGAAGCTAAACTCAGTGAGATGAAGCATGGAGATGAGACAAGGAAGAATAAAATCTGAATATAGAAATCTCTTTCCAGATGTTGAACTCTGAAGGGGAAGAAAGAGACATGGTATTGACTAGACAAGGATGTTGAAGTGGTATTAGCAGGGTTTTAAAGATTAGGATATATTTACATGCTTTTGGAAAGGATCTGTAAGCAGCAGATCAAAGTTCTGAGGAGACAGAAAGGATTGGAATAGGGACCAGGGGACCAAGTTTTGGTACAAGGAGGAACAGTTATTTCCAATTTTACTGGAATGAAGGAGGAAAAGATTGGTGTAGATTTCAGTAATTTTTCAGGACATGAAGGCAGAAAGTTGAAATCTATTGGTTTCTTTTTTGTTCTTGTGAATAGAAACTAAGTGCCTCCCAAGAGAGGGAATGGAGGAGGTTCCGGGTTAGGGAGTCTGAGGAGTGTGAGAACTTTTGAAATAGTCACTGTAGGAAATGACAATGGGAGACAATTACAGAGAAAAAGAATACTTTCCTGGCAACACTGTGGGCCTAGTTAGTGTTGAAGACGACAGCAGGTTTCAGTGACACTAGTTTGCACCCCTGTGTGATTATCTTGAACTCTGTGTAACAAGATATACATTATAAGATGGCAGATATTGATCCATGATTGCGAATTAATAAAATCATTGATAGAACGCAGAACTGGGACAAGAACAACGAGACTAATGGCTAAAGATTGATTGAAGTAGGACCACGGAGTTTAGATGTTTAGATAAGAAAATAAAAGACAGGAAGCCTCTGAGAAATAAAAGGACAATAAAGATTTCACGGGACTAAATGATCACATATCATCCAAGAACAAGTGCTGTAGAAGGAACTGAGTGTAAGAATCTAAGGATGCAAGGTTTTAGACAAGATGTAAGATTTCAGAGGAGGGGCAAAATCTAACTAGAGAATTACCATCAGATCTTTCTAGATTGTGGCCATGGGAGTTAATGGCTAAACAGGATTCTAGTTAACAGTCTTTAGCGTTGATGACTTCAGGCTTCTCTTTGAATTGTCCATGTGGACATTTAAGTCATGTGGTATTTTAGGTTACGGTGGAATCTTCTGAGCTGCGTTGTCTTCAATATATAAGGAAGAGTGTCTGGTGTTTATAAAGATGGTAGTGAAAAATGGGTAGGGAAAACTAGGAGTGAAAGGCCTGGGTCTGGAAGGTACACGGACAATAGTCTGGGTTTTTGGGGGGTGGTGAGGAGAATGCTGTTCCTGTATCTAAATCTGAGGTGTTGTAGATGCAGGAAAATAAGGAGTAAGGACAAGAGAAAGAAACTGTATTCCAAACAGACTCAGGTTTCAGGGAAGGCATGTGGAAGGAATTTTCACAGGGGCTATTGAATGTTTATTTACAACAGAATGGGGATTTAGAAGCCAAAGTGGAAAAATTTCCATGGGAAGTGAAGAGGCAGTTAGGTCAACATAGAAAATAAAACAGAGTAAAGTTTCTCAGTGAGTCATTCCTTTCTGGAAGGGGTCAACAACAGGTAGGACTGAATGTGCTTCCAAGGGGTCCTAGTACAGAGGAACACGGCCACAGTAAGTGCTCAAGTCTCTCAGCAGGTGTCATAAATCAGTAGATTCTGGCTGTCCATTTGGATTCAGCTCTCATCCACTACATTACATTACGTTATGTTACATTACACTACACTGCATTATGTTACATTACACTGCACTACAGTACATGACATTACATTACTACATTACAAAATCTGCACGTGCTCCTATTTATAGACAGGAACAGTGGAGAAAACTATCTCTACCTCACATTCAAAGTCCATGTGGCAGAGGGCACACCTGGAGCATGGTCCCTGGGGCCCGTCATCACTGCACTCATTGCTTAAAAATAATTGCCTTGGACCCCCCTCCTCCCCTCCCGTGGCCGAGTGGTTAAGTTCGTGCGCTCCGTTTCAGTGGCCCAGGGTTTTGCTGGTTCGGATCCTGGGTGCGGACGTGGCACTGCTCATCAGGCCATGCTGAGGTGGCGTCCCACATGCCACAACTGGAAGGACCCACAACTATAATATACAACTGTGTACTGGGGGGACTTGGGGAGAAAAAGCAGGAAAGAAAAGGGAAGATTGGCAACAGTTGTTAGCTTAGTTGCCAATCTTTAAAAAATAAATAAATAAATAATTGCCTGGGTCTCTGCAATGGAGGCTGTAATGTCCCAGAAGACTTTGGGATGTTCATTTAGGTTGATTGTGAACCTTCTTTCTTGCTTCCCTATCTATTGGTAATTTAAGTATCTGACCCCTCTACTTTCCTTCTGAACATCCTCTCTCTCGTATCTTCTCTTGCTTCCTTATCTCATATGGAGTCTGAAGACAGTCATTCCAAAACTCTTTTATAAATGCCACCAATCAACACATTCCTCTCTCTTCCATTTCAGCAGCCTGCCAAATCCAGACAGGATGAACTCCCTTCCCCACTATTACAGCAAACTGGAACCATGCACTAAATTCTGGGGGAATGTTAATTATGGCAAAGATGTTGGCTAAAATGTCTTATTGACCACATAACGTGCCACGGTGCTATGGGAGACCTGTAATGTTTAGGGCTACAGCAGGTACTTCTTGTTATCTACAAATTGCAGATTTATTTCTTCATCCTTACTAACAGAATCCTGATGTTCCTTTAGTTAGCGTTGTTTCTAGATAAAAATACACACCTCTCCCAGACTTTTGCAGCTTGGTGTCACCATGTACTCTGTTCTGATCAATAAGATGCAAGTATCTTGAGAGATTTATCATCTCTTCCTATTCAATAGACTTTTCTGCATTTCCTAATGACCCAAAATGTCAATAGTTAGGCTTCTTGGACTACATATCAAAGGTCGAAAGTCCTACATTTGTATCCCAGACAGGAAAAAGACTGTTATCACACTGCTCATCTATGGTCTTTTAATAGAGAGCCAGAGCTTACTCATGGTCTGAGGCCA